TATGCCATCAGAAGTATATGTAAAACATTTTCGCACGACTATTAAGACGTATCGTGATGCTATAAAACGACGTTTAAATTAGACTTTGCAAAAGTAAATTTAATAAAATATTTCTTTGCTTTTCAGATATGATATTCATCTGGGTTTTACTTTTATTTCCTGGTATATTTCCAAGTATTCATACTCTATCATGTATCAACTTCGAATATACAGTAAACGTACCTATTAATACATTTGATCGAAATGCATTCAAAGTGTTACTTGATGGTTATGAAATGGATGCAGATTATTCTGAATGTCGTCTGCAAATGGCAGTTGTTTATCCTCAGGAAGTACTACAAATAAAGTTTAGTAAATTGATTCCAAAGACAACCATCTCAGTTGGTAGTGTTACGTTTCGCACCTTAGTAAGATATATCAATGAAGATAACACAATGATTGCACATATTTTAATATCTGCATGTTCAAGCTCTGACGGTTGTGATAAACAATTTACACTCGACCATGTTGAGTGGCTTGTTCGAATGAAGTATGATGACTTCTCCAAAATTAGTTTTCAACTGCTTTTTGGTGAAGATGATAAGATACGTAAGTCTAATGAATTCTTTTGCTCATACTCATTTATAATATTTTTCAGAGACATGCGATCGTCTCCAATGCGGCAATGGTTTTTGCGGTGCTCAGTGGACACACATTGAAACCGATATTATTCAAAGATGTAGTAATATACCACAAGCTCAATTTCAGGTTCGAAATGATTTTAATCTCAATACTCGCGAGGAAACTGCAACTTATGGTTACTTTTGTGGTTATGATCAATGCAATAGCTTAGATGTTATATCAAAATTGCAAGCGAATATCAAAGAAAACTACAATATTTTACCCCTGCGTAAATTTCTAGGTTTTCACAACGAATCTGATGAATCTATGGCAACTACAAGCTCGACACTCAATATCACATTTTCTCAATATTTGATTGAAAATATGTCAAACGAGTCCTCACCGTCTTTGGAAGATACAACTGCAACACATTTATCTATGATAACCAATTCATCAGTAATGACGAAGCCAACTTCTACACTTGTTACAACAAAAACTAACGGCTGTACCACATGGCAACTTCAGAAAACAAATATTATAATGAGTTTGAATGCAATGATAATCTTATTAATCATTTATTAAAGGCTTGATTTTACAAATCCTAATCAAAATAAATTCATTTTGCTTTCTGCACACAAATAGCTTCTGTCAGTAACTTTCAAGTTGCTAACAATCGTTGTCTATGCTTATTGTAATAATATTTGCGTAATCAAATCCACTCTTTCTTTCTTCTCTGCTTTTGTATTTTTGAACACAAATATACGCCGATCAAATAAATTAATGCATTGAATCTAATATTCATGTGCTTTAGAGGGTGTGGTTGTGGGTGTGGGTGATAGTGTAGGTGTGAGCGTATAATTGGTATAAAAACCACACTCATACCCACGCCCTCAAGCAACACATTTACATAACACGTGAGCACCGCCTTCCTTTTAAAAAAAATTGGAAGCAACCAATTATTGACAACCAACAGAAAGCAACACATTTACCTGACGCAAATACAAACATAAAATCTTTACTCGCCAAAGAGAAAGAAAGAACGCGTGTGTCAACTAAAATTACTTATGAATGTAACAAATTCACTCTTGCTTATTTCAGAACACATTTTAATGGGGTAGGTAATTGTTTCAAAAAAAATTCCAAATGACTCAACTACAAAACACTAACGTAAAAAGGAAAAAATCAACTTACTATCGTATAAAAAGCAGCACTTTTTTGAGGTTATACTCATTCAATTCCTGCTTCACAGTTGTGTTGAATAGTCCGTTATTCGATTGTTTTATTCTGCGAATATGAAAATTTATCTGAAATCATTAGACAATATCATTCTGACCTTCGAAGTAAACGCCTCGGACACCATCGACAAATTGAAACTACAAATCGAAGAAAGAACGGGCGTCAAACCAGATTCTCAACGGCTAATATTTCAAGGCAAAGTACTAGAAGACTTGCGCACATTTAATGATCATAAAATACCAGATGAAAGTACACTTATGATCACAAGCAAGCTGCAAGGACTCGTTACTCAATAATCAACATCGATCTGCAAAGATGAAAGCTGGAATGAACTTACTTTATTATTACAAAAATTTAATTCCAAACTACTCTTGATTTTTTTTCTACACATTTGAATAAACCGTCTTGAGGGTGTGGGTGCGGGTGTCAATTCTTATACATCATTATCTATACGCACACTCACACCCTCAAGATCTTGAACTATCTCCGATGAAGTTTCTCAAATACCTATTTTTATTTTATTCTCTTCAGTTCTTCCTTGACTAATCTTTTTTTCTTTCATTATTTCATTCCATATAAGAATATATTTTTGTATACAAGTAAAAATTTATTCAGTGTAATGTAAAGAACATGTAATTTATAGGAATGATTGATTTGACTATAGTTCGTCTCATTAACTTTCTAGTTTAATTTATTCTTATGATGTTGACAAATTGTGACATGATATATTGCGTCACAATTTTGCAATGTATATGCCAATTTGATCCTAAATAGTGATAAAATAAAATTATAATAAAGCGAATGAAATTGAAATCTTAGACAAGAACCAACTCCCAAAACATACTACATCTTGAGGGTGAGTGTGGTTTTGGGCAGCTGATAGAGAGCATACCCACACCCACCCCCAAGGTGTTGCTGATGTTACATAGAACTGGAAGTAATTATTTTCATTGAGAATTGCTTTTTCTTCAAATTTACTTTTCTCCCAGGTATTGTACTATATCGATTAAATACAAGTCAAAATCATATTTGAAATTACTTTTAAAAACAATAGTTCTTTCCAATCTTTAAAATAACTATTCCTCATAAATATCTCATTGTTTGAAAATAAACTGATACCACTTGAATTTTGATTTTATTATATGATTATCTACCCATTTTTTAATTATATTTTTATTGTACTTTTCGCGGAATAAGATCAGAACGACTAGAAAAAGTGAAATGGATACCAAATTTTTAGTTATCGATATGTGAATAAATGTATCTGTTATATTTCAATTATATTGATTTAAGATATTATCTGTATTTCAGGTATAAAAACACATATTTTTTCATTATATTCTATTATTCTAAAATCAACTATGAAAATAATCAAGATTCATTCTTACATTGTTCTCATTATTCTCAGGTAAATAGTTATTTATTTTTATCACTCATTTTATTAACATTCATTGATTTTATATTTTAGTATAACAGGTTTGATTCGTATTCTATTTTATATGTTTATATGTATTAGTTTATCACTTTCATAGTTCAAATCAATTCTCAAATATGTAGTAAAATACCTCAATATGGTGAATGCTCGACAAACAGTGCATGTGGATACTTTCATATAACAGGTGCTAATAATAATACAGGCATTTGTGGTTTTCGCTGGCTAGCATGTTCTCGTCTTGTACTGTGCAATTCTTCAGACAATTCATGTTCTCAACATAATACGACCTGTGTTCAACATCCACAATGTAATGATCTTCCTGTTTGTTATCCAGTTACAATGACTGATCAAAGTATTTGTCCACCAATGAAAAGTGAGTGAATCGGTGGATGATAGATGCAACAGTCTTATACACATTTGCAAAATATTTGAAACCATAAATTTTATCTGTTTAGATAAAATAAATCTTAAATGGAAGCAAAATGCCATCACTGTAGCTGGTGGAAATGGAAAAGGACAAGAATTAAATCAACTATATTACCTTTATGAAATCTTTATCGATAAAAACAAAAATATTTTCATTGCCGATAATTATAATCATCGTATTGTTGAATGGAAATATAATACACAAGAAGGACAAATCATTGCAGGCGGACTTGGCAAAGGAAATCGAACGGATCAATTGGATAGACCAACAGATATAATTGTTGATCAACAAAACCATTCGATCATCATTGCTGATTTGGGTAACAGACGAGTAATTCAATGGTTCAATCAAAGTCAACAAATTATCATTCAGAATATTGACTGTTGGGGCTTGGCAATGGATAAAAATGGATTTCTTTATGTTTCTGATACTATCAAGAATGAAGTGAGACGATGGAAAATGGAAGAATACAACAATGAAGGAATTGTAGTGGCAGGTGGAAATGGAAAAGGAGATCAACTCAATCAACTCAATTATCCCAGTTTTATCTTTGTTGATGAAGATCTATCTGTTTATGTGGCAGACTGGTACAATCATCGTGTGATGAAATGGAGAAAAGATGCAAAAGAGGGAATAGTTGTGGGTGGAGGAAATCTCAATCAGTTGTCTTCACCTCATGGAGTAATTGTTGATGAATTGGGTCAAATCTATGTGGCAGATTCTCATAATGATCGAGTAATGCGTTGGTGTGAAGGAGATGAAGAAGGTGAAATTGTTATTGGCGGAAATGGTCAAGAAAATCAACCAAATCAATTATTTGGTTCCACTGGTTTATCTTTTGATGACGAAAGAAATCTTTATGTCGCTGACCGTGTGCTTGGTCGAGTTCAAAAATATCTACTAGATATCTAAATGAAAACCTTTTATTTAAACAATAGAAAAAAAACTAATTTATCGAATGAAAATGAACGTTTAATTTGATATTTTTTCTTTTTTTCTTTTTATTCAATGATTTGATGAAGAAAGAATTCTTCTCGTAACTAAAATTTCAATTTCAAAGCTTAATTTTTATTTTTCATTGATTCTTCTGTTTAATAAATATCGATGTCTGCGATTATTTTCATTATTGATGATATATTTTAAAGAGTCTATAGTAAAAGAGAAAGAAACGGAACAAAGATAAATCAAAAAAAATAGGGTGGGAGTGAGTGTGGATCTGCGTGTGCGGGTGTGGATGTGGTATGAAATTAGTATATACCCACACCCACACCCTCAAGAAATTATTATAATTGTCTTCGGATAGAATGAAAATAATCGAATATTTGTTTTTATTATGAAGAAATTCCTCCAACTGATCCATTGTTGAACATCGTCTTGAAGTTTTCAAGTTATTTTCGAGTTTGATTTCTTCACCAAAATAAACAGATTCACAATAATTTTGATTCATTCTCATCGAGTCAAATGGTAAATTTTTTATTTGAAGACATTCAGTCGACTCTCGCGTCTTTTTTTTTCGTTTGATCTAAATATTTCATTTTCAACTTTAATCAATAAAATGAAACCAACATCGATTTATCATTGTCATTATGATGGAACAGAAGATGACTAAAATCTTTTATCTCTCTTTACTGATTCAATATCATTATTTATTATTGAATCAAAGAAGAAACTTATTGAAAAATGTCTCGCCTTTGACGATAACGATGAAAATCTTCCTACAACCACTCGAATGTCGAGCGCAATCTTTGAAAGCGATCGGCGAATTTAATACGAAAAACAAATCCCAAGTTAATAAAGAATGACTCTCTGTCATCCATTTCTGACAAGAGTTTTTTTTGTCGTTCTATTAATTGACAGAGAGACTTTCACCTGAACTTCATAATATAAAAAAATCTGAGAAATAAACGAAAAAAAATATACATGTATACAATATATTTTTTTCTTTCGTTCTGTAACAAATGATAGAACGTAGAAACAAGCATGTGTATTCAACTCAGCGTATAACTTTGCTTTCGATAGAGGTTATATTTTATTACTTTTGATCACAGATAAATGTGACTATCGATTCATATAATATATGATACATTCGTCTATGCAAGCAAAATAGAAGGCTAATCAAAAACGTATATTATTTTATCTGTCATTCTTCAACAATATCAAAAGATTCAGAAAAAAAGCAACATATATAATTAATCTATACTGTATAATGAGCCATTATCATGATTTGAAGAGAATGCTCTATAGTATAGTCAATGAAATCCAACAGCAATAGTATGCGACTAGCTCAATATTAAATCGTATAATTTAGTTTTTGATTGTTTTTAACGAGAAAATGTTACATAAAGATATAAGCGTAACTGTATAATGAAAGTATAAAGAAAATTTCCAATGTCTCTTGCAATGATATAATAATTATGAAACCTAAAGTGTACTGGCTTCGAAAAACGATGTTTCTAATACTTTGATTTCGCTTTTCAATTATTTTAATAAAATAAATTAGACATTGAAGTAAATAAAAGTATAGAAGAAAATATAATTTATATTGACAATAAATGAGTGTTCTCTCAACGTCAAGAAACAATTCAGAGAATTTTGAAGACACAAAAGAGTTATATTTAATAAGATTGATAAAAGTCAAACTCGAAATAAAATCGTTTTAGAAATTTGTTATTATCTGTTTTATTGATTATTCGCACAAATTGTCTGAAGAAAGTTGTTGACAAATAATATATTCAAGAATATTTTTATTTTTAATCATTATTGTCTAACTAAAATTGTTAAAATATGAATTTTAGAAAATTTCTATCATATGATGGTAAAATACTAAGACAAAAATGCCAACAATAATAACTAGAACCTTTGTCTAGGATATCGATTTAGGAATAGATATCAGTTCTTTCTTTCAAAAGACGAAAAAATACGAAACGATTGATAGAAAAATGTGTGTGCTCAAATAATATCAAACCCACTCACGCATATCAATCGAACGATAATAAACGACGTAGAACGAAAAAAATAGGTAGGAACTAAAAAAAATCGGTAGGAAGAAAAGTAGGAAGTAGACAATGTTATAATTATTCGTTAATGTAAAATATTGATGTTAGTTTAATTTTCACGATGTTCGTATCGTGTGCTATTATTGCACTCTTCTTACTCGCTCATACAAGTCATTCAGGAGTTACTGTCGGTGGTACGCTTAGAAAAAGTACAATTTGGAACGAAGCAGAAAGTCCCTATCATGTGGTTGGTGATGTAGGTGTTCCTCCAAATTTGACACTCACTATTGAAGCTGGCGTTCAAATCATTTTCGACGATGATTTTGAGATTCTCATCAAAGGAGGCTCTCTAAAAGTGCTTGGTACCATCGAACAACTCGTCAGATTTTCATCAGCTTTTCCTGGAAAAAAATGGATGGTGACATTTAAGGCTTCTAACTTGTCTCAATCGATCATTACTTCAGCTCAGTTTTCAGGTCCCAAACCAGCAGTACAATCGGCCTATATAGAAAAGAATCCTATACAAAATCAAGGAGAGTTATTGTTACAGTTTTGTATATTTATCAATGGCAGTGAAATCGCTAGCAATGGCAGTAAGTTATGATTAAATTTAGCAATGATGTTCTTTTTTAAAAAGACTTTTAGGAAGCGATATAATTTTTAATGCGGCTGATGTCCTTTCCAAGTCATCACTCGTTCTACAGAATGTCTTCATTTATAACTCAAAACTCACAAGTGACTACTATAATGTGGAGCCAATTCATGTTGTGAATAGTTCTATTCTAGCAATGGCTCATAAAGATGGTATTCACTTGAATTCGTCTGTTTTGTACAATACAAGCATAGAACTGTCCTATGGTTATCCATCCACAGTGCACATTGACAATTCGACTCTGGACAATGTTCACGTGAACGGCAACGCAGGTTCAACTACCACCATATTATTAACGATTTCTCGCTCAACCTTTAAAAATGGATCTATTACAGGTGGTTATCATGGAACCAACATTCAAATTGATGATTCAAGACTGGTTTATGTTAACGTACTGGGTGGTGGTGGTTATGGTGTTGAGGATTCTGATCTTGGAACATATTTTGCCCTTCGTCACTCAACGTTTGATAATGGTTCGCTTGTATTAAACAACTATCAAGTGGACTTAACCTCGTCAAATATTAGTCTTACTCAATCTCCTCTCGTAATAGGCAGTAATTCAACAATACAGTGTACGTCAATCACTCGTACAACTGAAACAAATGAAAATATGATTGGAATAGAAGCTAACAATATTACAATCAAAGAATCATCTATCTACAATTTTCGAATAGGAATTCGTCTCTTTAAAACATGCACGATTTCATCAAGTAATATCTATAATAATTTACTTTATAATATTGAAAATCAAGGACCATATACCATTCAAGCGAAAGAAAATTGGTGGGGGACATCAAATGAGACAGAAATTGATAATAAAATATACGATTATTATGAAAATTTAAATTTCGGTCTGGTCATCTATTCTAATTATTCAATGATTCCACTTAAACACAATAATAGTATTTGTGAAAATTATTACACATCGTCATCATCTACTTATAATAACGTATCGTCATCATCTACTTATAATAACGTATCGTCATCATCTACTTATAATAACGTATCGTCATCATCTACTTATAATAACGCAATATCCCTGGGACATTATATACATATGATTACTTTCTTTGGTTTGCTTGTAATTCTTTTTGTTACATGAATCGCGGGCGGTGGAGCCTATCAGACTTAGAGGCTTGAGCCTCACCTAATTTTGAACTTGATGCATCACTTATTCATTTGTCGTCGCTATTGTCCTTTCAGAGACACAGAAAATATACTTTTCTTTGGTGTGTGTTTGTTCGTAGTGGCTGCTTTGACGTCGAATTAGCATGATTGCAGTCGGATAACAGTTACGCTTTGATTTCACAAGAGAAAATAATCGCTTAAGATAAGAATATGTATTTAGTTTCTGAATATTTAGAAATGTTGAATAGTGGTATTTATCCCTTGTTTCACTGCCTTTGTGGTTCTCTTTCTTTCCTATCACACATACTTGTTTGAATAGTGCATTTCTGACTCACATTTATAAGGTGAAGATGGATTCTATCGACTTGAACAATACTTTTTCTAAATAAAAGTCTCACTATCGCAGTTCAACGGATGAGTAGAAGGAAATACTATGAGCCTCACGTAGATTCAAGACTATCTTGAAGATGTGGGTGTGGGTTAATAGTGTATTGTATTACCACACTCACACCCACACTCTCAAGATGGCTTTTCTGAGTGTAAAAAGAGATCAAATATAGTGGCTCACTTTGAATTTTCAAGAGTATATTATTTTTTATCATTGTATCAACTAAAATCTAAGTTAATTATCAAAAATTTTATTTTCTAAAATAATTTTTGTACATGGTGATAATTTATCAATATGATTTAAATATTTCTAAAACAAATTGTATCTTCTTAAGGTAAATTATTATTCGAAAATTCTTTTCATTTGTCAAAAATCATTATCCAAATAAACAAAATAAGATATTGTTTTAAATGAAATAATTTTACAAATTAACTATTTTTTATAGGAGAAACAAACTCTACAAATTCGTTAAGATAATTTAATAATCAAAAATGTCAATCTATATTTTATAATATTAAATATAATACTATTGAAATTTATTTTTATTTTTTTCAAATATTTCATCTATTATTATCATTTGATATGTAGCGATGAACATAAAGATTGAATAAATAATTTTTTTTATATAATTATCATTAATATAGATAGTGTGAAGAAAGATCTGTCATAAGAAATGAGATCATAACATTAATTAAGTATTATTCTGTATATATCACATTTATGTTCGAAAAAAACTTCTATTCTATAGGAAATCATAGAATCTTTTATTACACGACGACGGATTGAATATCTCGATTACAGATATTGTATACTATGATGATTCATATATACCTAAACGAACATATGCCAATGACTTTGATTGCATCATATTGTTAGTTTGAAAGAGTGATGTTTGTATATTGAATATTTACTTGCATTGGTATGTAAGTGTTTTTAGTGATAAATATGTAAGTTTGTTTGTTTTAGCTATACATTGTTAAAATGACAAGTATGATAATAGTGAAAGGAACTTTCATTGCGGTATTTTATATGTATAGAGAAACATATGTTCTAATTATAAGACTTATAATGTGTTCTTTGATTGTTTAATTTTAACCAATCATTGCAATATAATCAATCAGGGTTTGGAGAAACTGCTACACACACTGTAGTAAAGTATGGGTGTGAATATTACAGTCATTCAACACTCTTAGATTTGATTTATTGACGATCTTAATTTTAAAATAAAATAATTGAACAGAATATTTAAAATATGAGTACATTAATATATAAATAGATAATAATTATTTATTCTCTTTCGTTTCTATAATAAAAATATTTCAAGATTTTATAGATCAATATAGAAAAATACTTCTTATGAAAGAAAAATCGATTCTTTCATCTTATTTGTCAATTGTTAAATTTTAAATTAATTAAAAAAGTTAAATATTAGTTTTTGTAATTGAAATAATTCTTAGTTATGTACTAAAAAGATTATATTTCCTTTTTCTATTTGAATTGTTACTAATCAATTCATTCATCGCGTTCTAATTTATTTTTCATAATGAAAGTATTATTAAACATATGTTCAAAATAATAGAATTGTATATTGAAAGTTTTCTTTTCTTATTAAAATAAATTTTTATAGAATTGTTAATCGAATCAATTATTCTAAGTTTTTTAAAAAATAAAATATTATTTTTATATTTTATAAATTTATTAAAATAATTTATGTTACTTCAGAATCAATTAAATTAATTCTATTGTATATTTTCAGTTCATTTATTAGATTAATTTAATTATTTAATAAAAATAATGAAGAGACTTTGTTTTTTACTTCATCTTGTTTTTGAATCATTAGAATTTCGGAAATATTTTCTTGAAGATATTAATTAATTATGATTTAACATTTAAAATTCATTAAAATTCTAATATATCAAATGTTTTACTTTATTATCCTCAAATAGTTTTAGAATTTCAAATAAAATTAATTCAAATTATTATTCTAACTCATTAATGAATTAAAAAGGTTATGAATGTGGATATGACAATGCCATGATCAACTGAAATCCAGACTCTCACACCTCTTAAGATTAGTGGCGTAACCAGGGGGGAGGGGGGGGGGCAGGGGGGCTCAAGCCCCCCCCACCCACAATTTGACTTTAAAATTTTTTTAATGTACTAGGATCATTCAGAATAGCCTTAAAGGTTGAATTATCGATGGTGTTAATGTAATATACACTCAGAGGTGCAGAATCTTCCGGAAAACCAAAAATTTCCCCAAAAAATGCAGTTTTTGAAAAATTTCTCTCCCCGCGCGGGGGCGCACGAGGAAGATTCTGCACCTCTGAGAACAGACAATATACACGTATGTCTCTGATGGTGATTAGAATGCTGAGTTTGAGGATTTGTAATAATTCGATACTTTGGAAATCAAAGGTGCAGAATTTTTCTAAAAAACAATTTCCCCCCACCTTCGGAAAAAATTTTTCGAAAATTTCCTCAGAATTGTCAAAAATTTTCCCGAAAAATGCAGTTATTAAAAAATTTCCCCCCGCTCGTGGGGGGGGGGGGGTGCACACGAGGAAGATTCAGCACCTCAATTGGAAACTATCATATCATGATCCAAAGGAGACTATAATTGCTTTGGGGCTGAGCCCCCCCACCCGTGATTTTCTGGTTACGCCACTACTTAAGATGGTTTAAGTTTATCTTGCATGTGTACAATTAACAAGTTAGCAAATAAAAGTCCATTAAAATCGATTTTTTACATCTTTTGTAATACGGGTATTACTAGAAAAGTTCTCGCGTAAATCAATCGGACATTTTTGAAAGTATTAGAAAAATTTGATAGAAAGAAAAAAAATGCAAATGACTCAAAAATATAGTATAAGTAAAATATACA